GATATCACAGTATGTGTACAAATTTTTGGATCAATAAGCTCGAAAGTGTTCTTAGAAAAATTTTGGAAAGTTCGTTTTTTCGGCCTTTTAACTGTGTATAATACCTTAAGTTTGCCACGGTGTTTGTAACGTCCAAAAGGAAGCATCAGAAACCCTAAGAAGTCTATTTAAACATGACCGTGTATATACATATGTACATATGCTTGCAATAATCCCTCAGGTTTTTAGAAATAGCTACACATGTACTTTTATCTGCAAGCAGCTGCGAACTGGCGGATCGAAATCAATGCCTTGTACATATGGAAGACATTTTTATTTTACGAGAGCTTTTACATCGCTTCGGCATTGTTTGGACTAAAGTAGCACCTTGGGCGGGCCCTATTTTGTTCTACTCTCCCTGCCTTATTTCCCATAAACAATCTTTGTTGCGATGTTTTTGGGCTGACCAATTCAATCTTAATATTTCGAGCAGTGCTTTTTGGAAAATCCAAGCCAACGGTAAATTGTCCACATAGTCACCGTCTAAATTGTACTCCAATATGTCCTTATTAATTTCTCCGGTACAGTTTCTCGTCAATCGTTCGTCGTTAAACAATCGGACCAACCCTGAAGACGTGAAGCAACCCACACCATCAGCACTGACCCACCATGTTTCACATGGTATTTAGTGTACTTAGGTTTAAGTTCTTGCAAAGGGGGCGGCTTACATTTTTTTTCCATCATTGCCGAATGCGATGAATTTGGACTCACCGCTACGTCACTTTCGTTTTGCAGGATTTTTTTTCAAACATTAGGTTTTCATCTTGCTAAGGGATCATTCAATGAATTTTCTAACAGTCGTCTTCGTACAGTTTGCGAAGATATTTGTACGTCATAGTGCTCCTCTATTTCCCTTATTACTGTGGAATTTAAAAATGGATCCATTTACTCAGCCTAACCAGGGTTGGTGTCGTCAGAACGGGTGGTATTTTTTAGCTTTCTACCAGGCAAATTTTCAAACGTCTACAACTTTGGTAATATTTTGATATTTTAGAAAGTGTTCCCAAATGACCTTTCTTTCGCTTGGAGTTGTGCTTTTATTCTTGCCCATGGCGACGATAATTTATAGTAATTTAACTAAAAATAACTCTATTTAATAAAAAACAAGCAATATTGATCTAAATCTTGGCGAAAAATAATAAATTTACCCTTTTCTAATAAAATTACTTAATAATGTGAGCACAAGTGTACACATGTTTGTACATACATACGTATAGATTATTTGTACAACAAACAGAAAAGTTTCTAGCATTTTCTCTTAAGACTTTCTGAACTAAAATAATTATTCTAAAAAAGCGAAGTATTGCATTACCTTTGAAAACTAATTAATCTACTTTACGTACTTTCAAATTTCTACTATGTATATGTTTTTCTAATTGATAACTTTTAAATTGAGACTATTAATTTTCTAAAAATATTTCCCGTCTGTTTTCATCACCTCAGTGATTGGTAAAAATATAGGTAAAAACTATATACACACTTTTATGTCTAAGTAATTTACAGACTCCATAGCATTTGTCATTACAAAACGCAGAATATGTACATTGTACAACTTTCATCAACCAATTGTAGATTTTCCAAACAAATAAACAACCACATAACCCTTTCCTCAGCATTTGTAAACTCATACATATGTATAAACATACAATATGTATATAAAGAACCCCACAAAATATACACGTAAGAACGAGCCAGCGCTAGAGAACACTTTAGCCCCACAATGACCAAGAACTATACACACACACAGACTCACAAACAGTGCAAACAACACAAACGTAAGGGGATTCACCAATAAGAGTGCGTAAAACTGGTAGCGGCAACATAAGCGGCGAACGGCAAAACACATTCTGCAGCTGTATGTGCAAGTGTATATGCAACGGTTGTCGGAAGAGCGCTTGTGACGCACACTTAGAACAACACGGACGACAACAACATGGCCACATGGCCTGCCAGCTACTGTTTACACAGAACGGAGCAGCACGAACAGAACGAAATCTAACCGCAACCAGCATAAATGGAGAATATGGAGAATGTTGAGGCAACAACAAAAAAGCGCTACAACAAAAAACGCACGTACGTATGTAAGCATCTGTCGAATGTTAGCGATGGTGGCGTAACACAGAAGTCGTGCCATCGCGGTTGGGCGTACATACATTTGCCGAACCACCCGTTTAAGCCGAATGTTGCGCTGAGTCGGTGACGTTTTATTGCCGCGCATGTGCAAAGAGAGGCGCTGTAATGGCTGCGGTCGCGCTTTGGTACAATACTAGATAGCCGCGTGTGCCACTACTGCTGCTGACTTGGTTGAAACTTATTTCGCGTAACACTTACCCAGTGAAAACTGTTGCCCAGTCAAGCGTCCAGTTCTCCAAAATCACAAGCACAATAACGATAAACGCGTTCAAATGTACAAAATTATACTTTGTAAAATAAGTACAAGGCGATTCAACTTAAAGTTGCAAACTAGTTAACACTTTGGTGGCGTATGCACAGATAAATTGATGAAATTATGTTGTATATGTATCTACGCGTATGCGTTTGTTGTATTGTACGCGTGCGACGATGCAATTTGACTAACTGCGAGACGAAAATAAACGGTTGCTTACTGCTCTGCTACAGATTACGGTCTGTAGAGCCAGCACGTCGGTAAGGCACGAAGATGACTTCTTCAATGAGATACGCTACTACCTACTTACAATTTGGTGCGAAAGTGCCGACGTTGCAGGCCAACTGCTTCATTTGCTGCTGCTGCCGCTGCGGCTGCTCGCTCGCTGTCAAGCGCTGCACTGCGCTGCGCTGCCATGCAATGCGGTACAAAGCCAAATTCAATGGGATGCGCAGCGCTGCGCCGTGCCAGTGCCAGTGCCAGTGCGTCGACAACTACCGAATTGAGTGAGAGTTCTTTGTGAGTGTATATGTATGTATGTATGTATGTATATATAGGCACATGTATGTGCATGACGGTGCGTTGTGAGCGTAACAAATTGAGCGATCTATTTGAGCGTAACGGCGAGTGCAGTCTAACATACCGAACAAGCCAATCAGCTCACCTTCCCATCCACAGAAGCTGCCCAACGCAGATTCCTCTGAAGAAATGTTTTACATATACTAGACATTCCTTTCTTTTCTTTTTTTTCTACCGAAAGTATATATATAATTTAGAGCCAAGTCGACTACTACATAGCAACGCCGATGACTAACACTGTGCGCCAGAAATCCGAACAACCAACAGCCAACAGCCAATCAAGTAGCTAGTACATCGAGTCTTCGATGACTAACTAAGCCCGAACTGCCAAGTCCAGTTGAAGTGCGTTTAAGGGGGCCACTTCGTGCGTGTACGATCGCTTGGGAAGGAGGTGCTTAAGACCGGTAGCCGAAGATACCGGTAGCTACTGGTTTACATGTGGCAGCAGCAATAGCGGCAACTACAACTACATTAGTGTGCGCATAAGAACAGTGTTTAGGTGACGATAAAAGTCGATTGAAAAGTCAAAAGCTGAGAACACTTAAGGAGTGGGAGACATTTTGTGATTTTGTGAATGAGGATATAATTTGCAGTTGGGAATGCATTGTTATTGCTCTCAACGCTAAACCGAGGAGTTCAAATATGTAATATTAAAGGCATATGTAAAAGGCAATTTGTAAAACACAAAATTAAAATAATTTTATTTTATGCCTTGAACACATTTTGCGACAATTTTGTATGTAGAATACTATAAAAGAATTCAATATAATTACTTTAAAGAAATATTCCATCAAAAATCAATGAAATTAAGTATATTTTTCTATAAAAGGAAAAGGTTTTTGAAGATCTTGTATCACCAATTTTTATATGTTGAGATAACATCTTATATCACCCATTATTATAATAAATTTAGAAAACACAACTGAACAAATCAGCATGAAAAATTTGCGATTTCTGTGGGGTGTTTGAGGTGACCTGATTACAAATTTGAGTTGAAAATTTTTCCATCACGTACAGCCAGTTTTGTCATTTTAGTAAATAATGGCGATTTGACCACTACAACCCTTGAACTCAGCGCAAAACTTCTTAGGTTTTTTGCAATTTTTATTAGAAATTTCCATTCTAGCAACACAAAGTTAGTGATAATTGCCTTTAACATCACAATAATATCCAAAATGACTGTAAACTAGTGTAATTATGAAAGCTATTATTGGATAATGAACCCAAATTTACCCAAATTCAATTGAAAATTAAATTTTTGCCAGATATTGTATTGCTTTAATCACTACACCAATATACTATAGCAACTAATATCCTTTAAAAGTATTTCTCATATCATAAAAGACAAAAAAAAAAATTAAGTGAAATTTCGACTAAAATCAAAGTACGATTACAGAAAATACATACATACATATACGGAATAAAACACTGTCTTAAATATTTTTAAAAAGAATTTCAACCTATAAAAAATTTTTCCAACAAAATTGTCACACCGTGCGTCGGTATAATTTGATTTTCAGCAGTGCAGCTTTGACGTCGATTTGGCCGTCGCTAACACACTGTTGTAAGCACAGGTATTGATTTTATTACGTCGCTAAACGTAACTGAATGTGGTCACTAGCTAGGATGATTTGTTTTATGCGGTTTACGTGACGTATGCATAATTGTGGGCATGAGCAGTCGCATTCGGCTGCCACACGATCGCATACAATATCAACGGCATGAAACAGCTGCGCAACGAACGCAAACAGTAGCTGTGATCTGTATTGGTAGCGGCTACCATTGGCCAGCCATTACGCACATCGATGGGTGTGCCAATGGGAAGTGGGCGCACGTAAGCACAGTAACTAATGCCGACAGCCAATAATAGCTACTGTAGATGAGAAAGGCGAGCGCAGCAATGAACAGTTAATAATAATTACAATAAAAATAATATCTTATATTTTTTTATAATTATATTTATATTAGGAAAGAGTTTCAAATTATTAAAACTTACCGCAATTAGGTAGCTAAAAGAAAAGTAAAGTTGCAGATGCGATTTTTCCGTCGGTTTAAAGTCCTTTTCACGTCGCTTTGAACAACTTTTCGATATTTCAAAATTTTCTAAAAAGTCGCTTAAACCCACACACTATTCGATTTTTCGTTACGGCCAATTTTGAAATTTATAATCATAAAAATACTTGTTGTGCTATTCACGCAATTTAAAAACTGGCTCGATTTTATAACCGCAATCGGACAGAAGATGTACGGTCGCCTTGAGTAAAAACTCCGTTATGCTTTTGTTAGGTTATATTATTTTATGATGATGATATTGCGTGCGTGCTAAGCGGCGCGATCTCGGCTAGGCGTATTCTGGTATACAACTGCTTTAATATTATTTAATAAAATATATTTCACTTCCGAACGCTTCCGTGCGCGACAGTGAACTGCAAAGTTACGATCGAAACTTCAGCTTGATAGTTAACAGCTGCCTGTGTTGAACGCGGAGCGGCTTCTGCTTCTGCTTTCTGCTTCTGCCGTGATATCACCTTGCTTTTCTTATTACTCATTCCTCTTGCTTCTCCTCGCCTTGTGCCTCTTGCAGCCGCGCACCCATGAGTCGGGCGATCGTGTTGCCCAGCCGTTCAAGCCGCTGATCGTGCTGCTGGTGCTGTTGCTGTTGCTATTGCTGTTGCTGGTAGTGGTGCTGATGGTGGCAGTTGCTATTGCGGTTGTGGAGCTGCTGGCGATGTCTACTGGCTGTTGCTCCGACTGGTACGCCCGCCTTCCACTTCTTCGTCGCCGCAAGCGCATTACCATTATTGTTTGTTGTTATTGTAATTGGTTCATTGGTTCATTACTGGACTACAACAGTTCCAATAATTGTTGTTGCTTTTGCCTTCGCACCACGCTTTCAGTTTGTGACTCCTCTTTCGATGGAATTCTCGAAAAATGAAGACAGCACAGCCATGCACATGTGTGTGTATACAAGATAAAAGCACAAATCAAACACATGAGGTAAAATGTAGTAGATACCTCCACACATACACACAGCCATACATATGTTGGGTAAGTACACTTGTATAACTACAGTAGGGGCATAGAAAACATCATCACTTGCGCTCAAAAACGGAGCTCCAACAAGAAAAGACCAGCAGCAGAATCTTGCTCAGGCGGGCAAAAATAATTACCAAAAAAAAGTACTCTTGGCATTTGGCCAACTTGCTCTGTGCATGTGCGAATGAGATGCAGATGTTGTTGCTGCTTTCAAGAAGAGTGATATTCGGTTAGTGTACGGTAAACAAACACCAACACCAACACCAGCAAGACAGGCATCAAGCATCCACCACCAACCAACTTGTCGGCACTTCAGTGCAAATACATTAAATTTCAGGCTCGCTTACTCAACCGCTCGGCATACTCAAACTGCGCTCACTCAAAGCGTACAACGAGCAGTGGAGTGCTTTGGACTGTGCGCACGCGCGGCAGTTTATAAAGGTTTACACTCCATTGAATTCAGTTAAATACGTGTATTTCGGTTGGAGTGAGTTGGAGGCAGAGTAGAAAAGGCACTGCAACTTTAATTCGAATTGAGTGCCTTCAACGCACACAACTCAATACCAATGCATGGCAACTTCTTTAAGTGCGTCTGTGTATGTGTTGCGGGATTTTTGGTGCTTTGTCGATATGTGCGAGGGGCGTATCCCTTTTGCCTTATAGCCGTATTACGGTGGCTAAGCGCCGTCCGAGTTGTGGTAATTACGACCAAATAACGTGCTACCGTGGTCGCAACGCCAAGCAGCGCTCAAAGCCAGTCAAAAGTCAAGCCATCGCTGCGGTCAGCTACAGCGAAGCCAGCAGCAAACGAATGGCTTGAGTTTGTGGTTTATGGACTTATGTCCATATTAAAATGCAAAGCTTCAGTTACATATGTATGTATGTATATGCTTATGCCTATGCACATGCATACATGTATGTGCATATGTACATATATGTATGTAAGTAAATAAGGATGGACATTTTAATTATGCAGCAGTAAGTGGTAACAGCAGTGAAAGTTCAGCAAATTGTATTGCCGTTGCCGCAGATTTGGCAGCAGCAATGGATGAATAAGCTGACGCTGATGAATGGTTTGAGGGCAAATAGAATTGCAGTTGCTGTAGTATTGGTGAAGTAGTTAAATAGTTGGAGGAAACGGTTGTGCCGGAGTGCTTGACTGTTCCGACGCTGGTGGTGACCAGTAGCATTACTTTGCCGCAGCACTTTCGCCATCTCTTTCGTTTGTTGCTTGCTCAAACTGTGTTATCTGCACTCATGAGGTTGGCAGTGCGTCGCTACTGCTTTTACACACTCGAAACATTTTTCTTTCTTTGAAGGCAACGTTTTTATACATACATTCATATATACATACATACATATGTATGCATGGTATAAGCTTTTTCTCGCACTCATATACATATTTACATACAGACGCTTTTAAACCGCCACCCTCTTTGTAGCAACTCACCATACTAGCGCTTCCACACTTACACATTCAAAGCTATTTGTGCCGTCACCACTGCTGCGCTCCATTTTCGAGGGGGCGGTACTGTTCGCATCAACCAATCAGCGGCCACCATTGCTGTGCTTGTCCTAAATTTGGAGCGTACAGTAAATTTACTCGAAATAAATAGAAGCAAATAAAAAGTTCGACTTGAAGCACATAGCACACACGGCTGTGTTCACCATACACAAAAATAAGAACAATAAAAAAAATCTGCTCCATTTATATACAGTCATGCAGCGTTCGAGGAGTGTGAACGAATACGAGGGAGTTATGGGTTTCTGGTTGCTTCGGTTAGAGCGAGTTGACAAGTCAACTGGGCAAGTTTTGACATCACCAACAGCGGCATCGTGTCCGGAAGGCATTATGGTAAGCATTTTGTGCTTCTGCTGTACATTACGCCGTGGTCGCAATCACATAGCAATGTATAGATGTGTGTATATAGAGTGTAGTGCGTTGGTCCAATACTTCTCTACCACGTTGAATAAAATTGCGTGTACTATTCACTCACACTTGAACATACAAATCTATCGAGGTATGTATGCAAGTTTTTGGGCCTTCTACGTCAATATGCATATATAAATATTGACTGCGTTAAAAATAACTATGGACGATTACATTTATAACGAAACGTATATAATATATGTACATACCTGTCTCTTATACACATCTAGATGTGTATAAGAGACAGATAGAGTGTAGTGCGTTGGTCCAATACTTCTCTACCACGTTGAATAAAATTGCGTGTACTATTCACTCACACTTGAACATACAAATCTATCGAGGTATGTATGCAAGTTTTTGGGCCTTCTACGTCAATATGCATATATAAATATTGACTGCGTTAAAAATAACTATGGACGATTACATTTATGTATAACGAAACGTATATAATATATGTACATAYRTATATTCACAAATAATAATAATGTTTATGGAAGTATATAAGTTGGTGGAGCAGTGAATATGAGTATATTTTACTATTGTTCTTTTTATAGCATTTCGTCTGCGTAAATTTTCCACCCACACCAGGTTATATCTATACATACATACGAAGGTACTTACATATGTATGTATGTATAGATATGTAAAAACTACTACATTTGAACCTATAGACCTACTTAGAAGCATGCTTACATAGGCTCGTACATACATGTATGTACATACGTACATACATATGTGCATATTTATATGTATATGAATATAAAATCATAGTTAGCTCTGTTGTCGGCAAACTTCAAGAACCAAAACTTTATTTTTGTTAGTAAACATATCTGTTACTTTGACAATTGCCGCGGAAAACAGCATATTCTTTATTGATATCCCTGCATACTACCATAGTCACCTCCGTCTGTTTTGTTAAGATTTTACTGAAAACTTTTGTACACCATTGAATTTAAAGAATTAGGCTACATTTTTCATTTTCCTAGAAACTTATAAATATAATGTATTACATTTAAGGGATTAGGTGGGTTTTTTTTTTAATACAAGCAATCATATATTTGAAAAATATAATATGCTTTATCAAAGGTATATATTCGAAGAATATCTTCTGAAATTTCGATACAAAAATTTTGAAAATTCCGCCGTTGAGACCGCATTTCCCTGAGTGTCTCTCAAAAAAGTGCTCTCGCCGTGGACAGCATAACTTATTATTGGTTCATATAAAGTTAAAAAACTAAGCATATTCTGTTAGTACATATCTAAATCTCTAAAAATCTAAAATTATTTGTAATGAAAAAGGAAAAAATCCTTCGTAATAACTAGATAATATTTTTCAAAAACGTGCACACAATACGAACTAAATCGGTCGATAAATTTTCGAGAAATAGTGTCCCCCGACTTCAAAAACACAGTTTCGGGAAAACCGCGTTTAAAGACACGGCACTTAGCGCAGCTAGCTTGAGTGCACAAGTTCTCAAGGCTGCATCTCCGAAATTATTACTCAGACCAACTTTAAAATTTAGGGCTATATTCTAGAGGTATTGTAGAATTTAATAAAGCAAACAAAAAAAAATCGATTTTAGGAAATTTTAAAACCCACCTAACCCCTTAATAATCATGAATTCAATATGATAAATTTCGATATTCGAAGTTGAGCACTTCGGGTTTCGAGATTAACTTCAAAAACGAAGGGATAAGTTTTGACTTGCGAATCAATTTCTCAAAAAATTGGTTGGGTCCATTATCCAGCCTAGTGTCGTACGGTGTTATTAAAAATTATTTTCAATCATTTTAAACCAATGTAGCCTGCATTTTTTTCTATATAAATAGTCCATAAAACATGGACTGTCCTTAAATACCATTAATTTGAAAGCAAAAGAAAAATAGGAAAGATTCTTTACAAGAGCTTTATTTTGATCGGTCAGTTCCAAGTCAAATTGACAAAGACATCTCGTCAAATGAAAAATTTTCCATACAACTGACTCCGATCATTCAGTTTGTATCTCAGCTATAAGCAATAGTGGTTGTTGTTGTTGTAGCGGCAGAATTCTTCCGTGTTGACAGTCCTTGGCCGGATAAAAATCCGGTTCCATTCCGGTTACGTAGACCCGACTGACGCGGGAATGGCTAAGCCATTATTATTATGTATACTTTGAATAAGTGGTAGATCGGTGATTCCGACATGTGAGCAGCTTCTTGGAGAGAAAAGAATGAGCGCAAAGTTTCAGATCGATATCTCAAAAACTGTAAGTCTAGACAGACGCATGGCTAAATCGACTCAGCTCGTCGCGCTGATCATTTATATTTATGTATGTATATATTTTTTATAGGATTCCCAACATTTTCTTTTCGATTTCACAAACTTCCGACAAACTTTTTGAATTTATAAAAAATGGAAGAAATGTTGGATTATTTGACTTATAGCAATGTCTTTTTGACCCTGCTTACATGGCAGCATCAATGTGCACATCTGCTCTTTCAGAACATAACTAGTTTTGTGATTGGATTTGCAAAATAATCAAAAATACCTCAGGCTTCGTGGAGAAATTGATGGAACGAGTTAACT